AATTATATCTCAATAAAATGGGTGACAAGCAGTATCTTTTGGTTACAAAATGTAAAATATATTCAAAGAAAATATATAATATATTAATAAAAACATTTTATAACCATAGACTACTGAAGATTTAAAGGACATATATTACAGAGGCGCCTGGGTGGCTCAGTCGGTTAAGCATCTGACTCTTGATTTTGGCTCAGGTCATGATCTCACAGTTCGTGAGATCAAGCCCCGCATCAGGCTCCTCATTGACAGTGCAGAGCCTACTTGGGATTCTCTCTCTTCTTCTCTCTTTCCTCCCCTGGCTCGTGCACTTGCGGCCTCTCAAAATAAATAAATAAATAAATAAATAAATAAATAAATAAATGTTTAAAAAAAATAAAGGACATGTATTACAAAAGTAATAATAAAGTGAACATTAAAAAAGAAAAAAGGCTGTGACTTCCCTCTTGGGGTTTCCTCTCCCTGCCTTCCTGTCTGTCTCTCTCTCAGAAGCCCCCTGCCATGCGGCATGCGAGACAGACAGCCATGTGGAGAAGCCCACGAGAGTGAGCTTGAAAGCAGATTCTTCCCCTGGTGCCTTGACTCTAACCAAGTTGAGAGGCCCTGAGCCACAACCACTAGGATAAGTGGCTCCTGGACTCCTGGCCCACCGAAACTCTCACAGACTGTTGTGATAAATGTTTGTTGTTTCCAGCTGGTAAGTTTTTGGATAGTTTGTCAGGCAGTAAAAGTTAACTCATCTACAAGCCTCGCAGGTGATTCTGATGCATGCTCAAGGGCGAGAACCACTGTTCCGCCATATGCACTCTAGCCCAGCTCCGTGTTCCTTCTGGCTAATGCCTCACACCTCAGCAGCAGCATCGCTGAGAAAACAGGGAGGCCTTCCCTGACCATGTAGGCACTTTGTTCCCCTTGCTATATGGTTCCCTGATTCTCTGCGCTTCTCACTGTAACGCTCAAAACACTGTTAGAATTTCCTAAGTGCCTGTCTTCCACCCTAGACACAAGCCCTGTGATGGCTGAGCCCAAGTCTCATTCGCTGCTTCATTGCCATGTCCAGCGTCAGTACCACTCACTATGTCCACAACAAATACGTTTCAAATAAATGAAAACCAACAGCAGGAACAACAAAACGACCCCAGATTGCATTCCTTCCCATCAGCTCTCAATGGGGGACAAAGGCAAGGGTAGTATTCTGAGTAATTCATGCAATAATGGACATTTTATTAAATCATAATTTGATAAAGCCAAAAGCCAAAAGCCGGAGTGGAATAGATGAGGGGAAAAAAATAACCCCTGATTATCTCATCATCAATCGCTATCCAGTGGATCTTGTTAATAAAACGCCTCCACCAGCACTTGATTTGGCCATGACCTCCTGGCCTCCCTGTGTTTTCCTCCTCCTTCTCTCTTTACTCTCAACTAATATATTTTAAGCACCTGCCGTGTGCTCTGTGAAAGGACCTGTGTTTGTCTCTTCACAATAAGTCTGATGGAGGAATCGTATCCTCATTTTACGGGTGAGTGAACTAAGACACTGGAAGGTTAAAATAATTTAATATTACACAGCTGGTACATGACAGTCCAAATTTGAATCCCGGTCTCCTGACTCTCAATGCCAAGTTCTTTCTTAATACCAGGCTGCATTTTTTAAAAAAGGATTTTATTTTTTTAAAAGCATTTTTAGGTTCACAACAAAATTGAGTGGAAACTACAAGGAGTTCCCATACACACACAGCCTCCCCCACCATCAACATCCTGCATCATACTGGCACATTTGCTACGATCAGTGAACCTACATCGAAATGTCATTATGAACCAAAGTCCACAGCTTACTGTTCACTCCTGTGCTGTACATTCTATGGGTTTGGACAGATGTACTGCCCTAAAAATCCTCTGTGCTCCGCCTACAAATCCCTCCCTGCTAACCCCTGGGAAGCATCGATCTTTTTTTTTTAATGTTTATTTACTTTTTGAGAGAGAGAGAAAGAGAGACACAGAGTGTGAATGGGCAAGGGGCCTAGAGAGGGGGACGCAGAATCCGAAGCAGGCTCCAGGCTCTGAGCTGTCAACACAGATCCCGATGGGGGCTCGAACCGCCAGATCATGACCTGAGCCAAAGGTGGATGCCTAACCGACTGAGCCATCCAGGTGCCCCAAGCATTGAACTTTTTACTGTCTCCATAGTTTTACCTTTCCCAGAACGTCATACATTTGGAATCATACAGTATGTAGCTTTTTCAGATTGGCTTCTTTCACTTGGTAATACACATTTAAGGTTCAACCATGGTTTTTTTGTTTTTTTTTTTAATTTTTTTTCCAACGTTTATTTATTTTATTGTTTGGGACAGAGAGAGACAGAGCATGAACGGGGGAGGGGCAGAGAGAGAGGGAGACACAGAATCGGAAACAGGCTCCAGGCTCCGAGCCATCAGCCCAGAGCCCGACGTGGGGCTCGAACTCACGGACCGCGAGATCGTGACCTGGCTGAAGTCGGACGCTTAACCGACTGCGCCACCCAGGCGCCCCCAACCATAGTTTTTTTGGCTTGACAGCTCATTTATTTTTAGGTCTGAATAATATTCCATTGTTTGGATGTAGCACAGTTTATTTGCTCATTCACCTATTGAAGGAAATTCTGATTGTGTCCAACATTCACCAGCCCCCCCTTTTGATGTGAAGGGTGGCAAGTCAGGAGTGTTACGATGAGGGGCGACTGGGTGGCTCAGTCAGTGAAGCATCTGACTCTTGACCTCAGCTCAGGTTACGATTCGTGAGATCTGCACCCCGCGTCCAGCTCCACACTGACAGCACAGGGCCTGCTTGGGATTCTCTGTCTCCCTCTCTCTCTGCCCCTCCCCTGCTCACAATCTTTCTCTCTCTCTCTCCCAACATAAATAAACTTTTTCAAAAAAGGAAAAAGAAGTGTGAAGATGAGTGAATTATTAGTAAGGGTTACTTAATAAAGTTTTACTAAACTTCTATATTTACTCAAGTATGTGTGTGATTTGAAGCAATAGCTCTATTTTCCCAAGTGCTCAGATTCATGATTTTTGTGACAAACTACTTTGGATGGTGCAAGTCCCCGTCAAGTCCATTTATCCTGGTCCTTTCATTTCTAACAAGGGAGGGTTTTCATTCCACTAGTAGTAGTCTTTCTCTTCCTCCAAAAAGAGGTCAGAAAAGATTTTAAGCACAGGAATGGTGTGGCAGGATAATCTATGGAGAAATTAAGTCTGTGTTTTGTTTTTGCACCTCTTGGTGGGGCAAATGAAAGAGGTAGCTGACCTTCTCTGACCTAAAAAAAAAAAAAAAATGGAGACTTCACGTCTGGGCTTCTTTGGGCTACCGTGTCTGAGGGCGTTCGTTAGCCGTTTTTGCACAGCAGGACCAAAAACAGAAGTTGGAAGATATAAGAGACATTTTGATAATCTCTGTAAATTCATTCCTTCTTCTCTTGGTAACTCCCCCCACTTTTGTCTACTGCCCCGTGCAGTGTATTTGTGCTGTGGGTGGGGGGAATAGCCTCCTCTGGTTGTAGTAATGAAATATATGGTTCAATCTAACAATTAATGAGCAGGGTGCCTGGTGGGGGGGGGGTCCTCAGTTAAGCATCCAACTCTTGATCTTGACTCATGTCATGATATCAGTTTGTGGGTTCGAGCCCTGCATTGGGCTCTCTGCTGACAGCACAGAGCCTGCCTGGGATTCTCTGTCTCCCTCTCTCTCTGCTCCTCCCCTGTTTGCACACGTGCACACTTTCTCTCTCAAAATAAATAAATTAACTTAAAAAATAATTTAAAAAAACTAATGAGCTTGATTCTGACCCTTGGCCATAGCCAGGAGGGTTCAATGGACACATGACCCAATTTAGGCCAATGAGAAAGGAGAAGATATTTCCTGGAGGCTTCTGTGAAAGAAACTTGCTTGCTATTTGGAGGAAGCTTCTGGAAGAATCTCTCTTTCTCTCTTTCTACCTTCTCCTTACCTCTGAGCACATGCAAAAGAGCACGTAGCATCAGCTGACAACTGTCTTATGACCAGGAATAAGCTGACTTTGTAGAAAGCAGAGCAAAAATGAGAAGAAACAGGGTCCTTGATGATGCTATCAGGTGACTAAATCAAACCAACCCTGAATCTTCCTCTGAACTGCCAGGTATACAGGCCAGTACTTCTCCTTTACGGTTTAAGCCAGGTTGAGTAAATTTGGGTCGTGTTGAGTCAAAAGTATCCTAGCTGTCATAGCAGGCATTCTCCACATACCCCTACATATACACATGGGACTAGCTCCCCATTGATGGTTTATGCTGGGTGTCTTGCCAGCCCTGCACATGGGAATTCAAACTCAGATTTAATTTTATTTTTTAAAAATAAAGAAAGGTAATGTTTCATGTGCCCAATTTATGAAACAAAGTTACATTCTATAATATCCAGAAGGAAAAGACAATAATGGAAAAATAGCTCAATAAATCATGGCACACCCACTCAATGGACCGATACACTGTCAGTAAAAATTTGTTGTGTGAGGGGTGCCTGGGTGGCTCAGTCAGTTGGGCATCTGACTCTTGATATCGGCACAGGTCATGATCTCTCAGTTCGTGGCTCAAGCCCCACGGTGGGCTCCGCACTGACAGCGTGGAGCCTGCTTGGGATTCTCTCCCTCTCTTTCTGCCCCTTTCCCGCTCATGTGTGTCATGTGCACTCTCTCTCTCTCAAAAATGAATAAACTTAAGAAAAATTTGTGGTGTGAAGTCTATATGAGAACACAGAAAATGCAAACATTATAAGTGGGTAAAAGCAAGATACAAAGTTTAGTACTAAGTTTGAGCTCAGCTATGAAAAGATCACAAAACTTCACAGAAAAAGTCTGGAAGGAAACAGAAAAATGCCAACAATATGATAACCACTAAGGAGTGTTTTGAGTGATACCATGGTTGGATTGACATTTAGGAATTCCTTGGAGTCTCTGGGTGGGAACGTGATCCAAAACTGTGAGCCCAGAATAGGTAACATGAGTGGCTTTATTCAGTTCTCCTTTACCCCAAAAGATGAAAGGTAATTACACAGCAACTTGTCACAATCTACTTACTGCTCCTCTGTTTTTCTCCAAATCATGATCTTATCAGTTTCTATTAATATTTACTTAGTACCCATAACTAACTGAGCACGAACTATTATTTGCAGTGGACTCTGACATCTAAGGTGCCACCTATTATCTGGAAAACTTGGCATTTCTCACATCGGTGAGTTTAGTACAGCCCTCATTCACCCAAACTGTTCACTAAGGTGCAGCCTCCCCCTGGCCCTGACCGTCACGACCACCACATGTGAACATGACAGCAAACTTGAGTCGTTTCCAAAGTCGCTAAGATTTCCTTCCATCAGGGAGACTTATGTAGCTTCCAGGAAGGCCCCCTCTCCAGGGCGCTGGAGTTTTATTGTCAGTTCCAACTCTTTTCACCTTCTTCTCCCTGCACTTATTCCGAAAGCCTGGAGGAAAAGAAAAACAGCCACTTGTTACAAAAAGATTGGGGACGCCAGCTCTAGGATAATCTGACCCATGTCCCATCTACGAGGCAACTACAAATTAGTGACATTAAAGGAACAGGAATACGGTCAATCGCCTCCCATCATTTGGAACGTGCACTAGAATAGAACTGAAAGTCCAGATTTTGAAATCTAAAGAGATCCAATCTCATTAGAAGCGCTAAGGCTGCACTGCCCGATACAACAGCAACAGTAGCCAAGTGAGGCTCTTGAGCCCTTGAAATGTGCTGATCCGAGCTGAGAGGTATTGTAAATGGCAAATTCACACTGGATTTCAGAAACTCAGTATGCAAAAAAAAAAAAAAAAAAAGAAAAAGAAAAAGAAAAGAGAGAAAAGAAAAAAAGAATACAAACTCTCATTTAGAATTTTCTATATTGATTACATGTTGAAATGATAACATGTTAGATATATCAGTTACATTGATTAAATCATATATAATATTAAAATTAATTTCATTTGGGTTTTTTGGTTCATTTTTAAGTGTAGCTTTCAGAAAATGTTAAATTACATCTGTGCCTCACATTGGGGGATCACATTATATTTTTTTTAATGTTTATTTTGAGAGAGAGAGAGAGAGAGAGAGAGAGAGAGAGAACGCATGCGTCTGCATGAGTAGGGAAGGGGCAGAGAGGGAGCCAGAGAATCCCAAGCAGGTTCTGAGCGCTCTCAGCACAGAGCCCACCGCCGAGGAGGGGGGGCCATGAACTGTGAGATCATGACCTGAGCCAAGATCAAGAGTCAGACAATTAACCAACTGAGCCCCCCGGGCGCCCCAATCACATTAGATTTCTATTAGATACGTGCTGCGCGAGATATATTGCCAGGTACCCCTTATACTCCTGTTTCCATATAAAACATAACTAACACTTGCTGCCGGGCTTCTTTGTGGCCTAGCTGGTTAGGGGCAGTTCCCTCTTTTAATCGACATAGCAGCCCCACAAGGCACACATGAGTTTGCCTACTTACAGATGAGAAACCTGAGGCTCAGAGAAGTTCAGCAACTTGCCCGTGGCCATCCACTGATATATGGTAGAGTCAGGAGATCCAACACTGGATTATCGTTCAGGGAGTTACCCAGTTGCCAAGGCTTTTGTCTCTGCCATGACTTGAAGACCTATACAAGCAGAGGGAGCGATGCCAAACAAATGCAAGCAGATGAGTTCTCTAAAACTGCAATCGCTTTGCACAGACAAGCCTCAGTAAAAAAATAAGACTACACCTTCCTAGTCCTAGATCCCATTTGACAAACATATGACTAGTGACAAGCAATACAGTATTGCCTTCCTGTTCAAGCTAACCGTAACTTGGAAAAAGGTGCGGAATGGGTGCTTTTGAAGAGCTAGGCTTTCCCATTCAAAAAAGGAAGATTCATGTATTCGTCTAAACTTTCAGATGTGGCAGGAAGAAAAACTTGCTACTTAGCCCTATCATTTACAAATAAACAGTGCTGCTGTTATTTTTTGGCCAGGTTTATAGATTCCGTGAGAATGTTTAACACTATAAAATAATGGAAACTGATTACAGTAATTTATATTCCTAGGGATGAATAAGAGGTTTGGCTAATCCATATCTTCCTCTTCAAAACTCGGTATCGTCAGACAGCTTCATTGACTGCTCCAGTTTGTGGTTTGGATGTTGGGTTCACGGGTGTTCATTTTACCTATGTATTTATTTAAAGAGAGAGCCATGCATGGACCTGATATCTTGAGCCCAGGATTATAATTCAGTTCTATGTAATGATGGACCCCCTTCAAAAATAGTACACTCGCAGCATACTGATCAGGTTCTATAAATGCATGCTATCGATTTCCATAAACGCCTCAGCCCAATCAGGGGCTCAAAGATCCAGCCTCATTCTAGATACCATTCAGAATTGGGAAGTATCAGTTCCTTCTCCAGAGAACCTTTCCCTTTACGCTGTCTCCACTTAAGAAGTATCATCCTGCTCAGCCTGAAAAGCTCCCCTTTGCTCCACACAGTTCTCCTTCCCAAGAAAATACAACTCTTCAGCATTCCATTCCCTCAAGACTCTGCTCTTTCCTAGCCATGACTCCAAGTTCAACCTTTAGGCACCACAGCCGAGGAGTTGGGTCAATATTTTGTGGTGTGGACCTTTGGGCATTCCTTGTGACAGCAGGCCTCCCATCACCTGTCCCCCCTGAGGAGTCGGATCGGCCCTAGACGCTGATAATCCCCACTCGGCCATCCCACAAGATGAGGCAGTTCTACTAGCACTGACAGCGTGGTCTTAGGCGAATTAGCTAACCTCTCTGAGCTTTGGTTTTCTCACCTGGGAAATGGGAGTGATAAGGCCTCCTTTAAAGATCTGTCGTGAGAGGTGGAGAAGGTACCCTCCCGGCCGGAAGAAGCTCTCAATTATGGGCGCTGTGGCTGATTCACTGCTTTCGAACGGGACAGCACAGCCTCGGAGACACCTGACCCCAAAGTTGCAGGCCTAGATCTGCCACGAAGTAGCTCTGTGGATTTGGGAAAATTGCTTCATCTTTCCATGCCCAATTCCTCCTATGTAAAATGAGAGGGCTGCACTTGAGCTGATCTCTAGAAAGAAGATCATGAGTCTCTGAGAAGAGCTCTAACTAAAATACTCAATTATTTATCAGTGCCCATGTAGTCACCTGCTACTATCTTTCATCGGGTACTAACTTACTCAACAGATCCTGAGGGAAGAGTGAGCACAAGCACTTTCCCAGAAAACAAGAGAAAATAATTTTGTGTTCCTTGAGGGAATAATTAACCTGAAGGGTAAAGGAAATAGTGAAGGGGGGGAACAACTACCCCCACTGTGCAAATAAAAGCTATATTCGTGTTCAAAACCAAGTTCAGAACTCTGATATTATTCAGAGTGAGTTAATTATTGTGTGAGTCAGAGCTGTATTCTGTCTCCCCTTGTATAACTCCTTGTATAACCCTTTTCTTCTTTTATTCCTTTCCCTCAAATGACTTCATTCTTTCTCTGTGTGTGTGTGTGTGTGTGTGTGTGTGTGTGTGTGTGTGTGTGTGTGTGTTTCTTCTCAGGATTCCTATTGTTGCTCTGGTTTCAGCGACAAAGCCACTTTGGTCTTGAGTGAGTTTTATCTGGCAGTATAACCTGAGGAACGCCTGTTCCCATTTTTGTGCTCTGTGGCCGCACGAAAGTGGAGGAGGCTGGACTCCTACATACACCTCATAGTCGTGGTCAAGGAATTCCACGTGAATTATACTTAAGCTGAATTTCAGTAGACGATAAAAACCAGAGGAACGCTTTCTCTCACAGTTATTTGTACAGGTGCTGCCGAAGAGAGCATTCTCTCTTTGAACAGCAAGATTATTTGAACTTCCAACCTGGAGCAAGTCTTTGGCTCTATCAGTAGCCTTTCTGGCTTTCCACACGGAAGAAGACTTAGCCGTATCCTCCGCTCAAGCTTCTCCGTCAAGTCACTTACCTAATATGCTCTTGTTCTCTGTCTGCTCATAGGACTCACCGCGCTCCATGAAGAACCACCGCATACACACTGCAGAACTGCTCTGAGATATCAAGTCACTCTGACTCCCTGGAGACACAAAATCTCTTCAACACTAGAATGAAAGGAAGAGAGAATGAGAGGGTGAGCTCATGGGTCCAGTCTGAGAATAACCAAGAAGGGAGACAGGGATGGCCACAAGCAAGGAGCAGAGAGCTAAGAGAAAGAGGGAATGATTCCGGCCAAAGGTGACAAGCGTACAAGGAGATGCGGTTAAGGCCCTGCGGGTCTGGAGTCCTGTCTACCACCTACGCGTCTTTCTGGGAAGGCAAAGTACTGGTGCACGTGTGCGGTGGTGGCCGTGCTGCCTTCAGCCACTCCCGGCGGCAGTGTCCTGTCCGACTTCTCACCAGCACGTAGCTTTTCCTGAAGACCCTGTTCTCACTAACGTCTGCCAGAAACACTTAGAGAAGATGACCCCTTCCCTCCCCGCACACCGAATTCATGCTAAGGTCACTGACCAACGATCTTCATGTCCAGGGGATACTTTTTAGTCCCTATTTTTCATGATCTCACAGTCACTCTGTCCTTTCTGAAAAAAACTCACTTTTCCTTTCAGTTCATTGGCTCCACACCCTCCTTGTTTTTTCCTTTGCTTTCTAGTCATTTCCACGTCTCTTTCTCTGACCTCTGCTCCTCTGCTTCCTTTGAGGTTCCTTAGAGCCCTTTCAGAGGCCCTCCTCTTACCGGCTTCTCCCTTCTTGGGCAATCTCCGCTGTCCCCAGAACGTCACTTAGCGTTGAAATTCTAACTCCCAAGTTTAAATCTCCTGCCCCTGGGTATGCAAATGCCTACTTGACATTTCCACATGAATGTCTCAGTGACCCCCTCAGGTTATACATGTCCAAAGTCATACTCATGTTCTTCCCACCAAAATTCTTCTCTTCCAGCATGGTTCCCTTCCTTAGAAAATGGCAGTTCTGCTGACCAGGTTGCTTAAGTATGAACCTAGGCACCATCCCTAACACCTCCCTCTCTGTCACCTCTCACGCTCCATCAATCGCCAAATCTTTTGATTCTCTGACCTATATACCCATCTCTTAAACCCTTCTGCTTCCCTCCATCCCCACTGCCACCATCTTAGCCAGGACTACCATTACTTCTCACCCGGGCTGTTGCAGTATCCTTATAACTGGTCTCTTGCCATCTTCTGTTGCACCTCAATCCATTCTTTCATCCACTATAGCCTACGTGATCTTTAAGAGTATAAATACGGAGGGGCGGGGAGTTGGCGCCTGGGTGGCTCAGTTGGTCGAGCGTCTGACTTCAACTCAGGTCACGATGTCACTTTTGATGAGTTCGAGCCCCACATCCGGCTCTGTGCTGACAGCTGACAACACGGAATTCAGAACATGTCCCCATTTTCGTAAACTCTGCTTAGAATCCTTCAACACCTCAGGGCAGCTGGGTGGCTCGGTCGGTTAAGCATCTGACTTCGGCTCAGGTCATGATACCACGTTTGTGGGTTCGAGCCCCGCTGACAGCTCAGAGCCTGGAGCCTGCTTCAGATTCTGTGTCTCCCTCTCTCTCTGCCCCTCCCCTGCTCATGCTCTGTCTCGCCCTGTCTCAAAAATAAACATTAGAAAAAAACTTTTTAATAAAAATAAAACTGTAAATATGGGCATGCCACAATCCTTCAACGGCCTACGAGGCCCTGTCTCGCCTAGCCCTAGTCACCCCTCCATCTCCTCTTGTACAGCACTAGCCCTTATTCTGTCGGCTCCAATGGCACTGGATTTCTCTTAACTCGTTAAAACACAATGCTTTGCCTGCCTACAGCTTTTGGATATGCTCTACCGATTGTCTGAAAGGCTCTTTCAACCTCAGAGTCTGCCTTAAACATCACATCCTCAGGAAAACCTTCCCTGACCATCCAGAAGAAAGAGCTCTCCTTTTAATCATTTGCATCGTACCATGCAGTACTTCATAGCACACTGCACACTTGAAGTTAATTAATAGCCATTTTGGTTTAATGCCGGTCTTCCTCCTGTGGCTGTAAGTTCCGTATCAGCAGAGCCCATGTCAGTTTGTCCACAAGGGAGGTCTCAGTTCCTAGCTGATGGTGGGCTCCCAATAAACTCTGTACAGTAACTGACTCTGAACCCTCCTGCCTGCCATTACCCCTAACGCTTTCACCAAAGCACTCTCACTGAATTGAAAATAGCCTGTTGAATCCTCCTACATTAGCTTCCTGTGGCTGCTGTAACACATCACCACAAACTGAGCGACTTCAAACAGCACACGTTTATTCTCTTACACGTCTGGAGGTCAGAAGTCCTAAAATCAAGGAGTTAGCAGGGCTGCGTTCTTTCTGGAAGCTCTAAAGAGGAATCTATGGCTGGGCCTTTTCTGCCTTCTAGAGGCTTCCTGCATTCCTTGGCTCATGGCCTCACATCACTCCAACCTCTGCTTCCCTCATCATGTCTCCTTCTCGTCTCTCCTGCCTCCCTCCTATCAGAACCTTTGTAATGACACTGCGCCCATGCAGATAATCCAGAATCATCTCCCCATCTCAAGACCCTTAGCTTAATCATATCTGCAAAGTCCGTTTAGCCACGTGAAATAACCTATTCACAAGCTCTGGGAACAAGCAGATGGGCATCTATGCCTCAGAGGGTAAAATCTTTGCCGAGTTTTCTGGAAAAAATACTGAACTTTGCTACGAACTATCACCTACCATTCACACTCTGTACACACCATGATATGGACCATATTACAACTCTTTCTCCTAGATCCCCTTGTAAATTAGCTTTGATTAGTATGTCCTTGAAGATGTACATATATTCCATAGTGCCTGCGTATACACAGTACTCAGGGATCCTTAGAATATCCTTCCAGATTTCTGTCCCTTTGGTGAGGAAGACAGAGCCAGAGCATGGGGAAGGAATAAAGCCGGCGAAGCAGCTGACGTGACCTTGCTTTGTTTGACCCCGGAGTCTCCCCTCCCGACTGCGAGTCTCCCTTCCAAGCTGTTGCTTCCTTGAGAAAATGGCTGAGGGGATGGTCACAAGCTGTCTCACGTGGAAGAGTCGCAGCAAGAAGCTGTGGCCGAACATTTTTAGACACATTTATAATCTGTCAGAAAGTACACAAATACTTGACAGTGAGTGTGGAAGCAAAAAGGGTGTCGTGAGCCAAATAATTTGCATCTTAAACACTTGACTTAACGGGTGTGAAGATTCTGGAGGTGAGAAGGCCTGATCCCCAAGGTGCTACCCACAGACTGTTCACCTCAGACTTAGGGTGAGTGGAAACACTCAGCCTCAGGCGTGGTCCCGTCTTGTGTCACAGCTGCCCTTACGTGCTCTCCTCGACCGTTATGGGAATCAAACAGAAGATGTTGCTTCTGGCAGCAGAGTGTCCTAAGAGTGAATCTCTTGTTCCCAACCGGCACAATCTGGTTTTTTGAGGAAGTAAGACAGGTTTCTCTCTCTCTCTCTCTCTCTCTCTCTCTCTCTCTCTCTCTCATGGAATCTATTCCCCCTGTAGTAACCACATCTCAGCTCATTAATCCTTGGTCCCATCTAGACATTATTGCTTTATGGGCATTCTGGTTTCCCCCCAAGTTCTGATTATTCACCCACAAAAGATTTCCAAGGGGACAGGAAGCAATCGGTAACACTTGTTGTGTACTCTACTTACCTTTATCTATTCAAATAATAAACATCACTACTGAGAAAAGTTCTAGGTAAGTTGTTCTAAGTCACCTAACCCTGAGATGGACACACCTTTAGTGGAATCTAGTCATGATGTCTTACAGCTTGGAGGGTAGAGGTCATCTGGTCCACCCCCTCATTTTTGTAGATGAGGAAGCTGAGGTTATAGACACCTAAGGAAACTGTGCGAGGACACGCAGGTCAGGGTGTCGACAGTTTCATAAAGCCATAAAAAGTATCAACCAAGATTCTACCTCTCCAGTTGATAACAGTCATAGATATAGCTCCCATGTAATAAATTCAGTCATAGATATAGCTCCCATGTAATAAATTCAGTCTTTCACAGTTTTAAAGTTTGGTGATAATTCGACCCGAGCTAGGCCAAAGTTTACTTCAAACCTATGAAAGAAAATCTTACTAAGTAACTAATGGTCTAAAAAGGTCACAGAACATATAGTTTACCTACGTCTAGTAACAAACTAGTTAAAGGACGTTTGACTTTAACTACACGCAACTATACTTCTGATTTTACAACAAATCGTTAAAATGGGCTTTGTGAAACTTCAGCTTAGAATCATCTTGTCAATTATTTCATCCTCATTATATACTTGCAATTTTAAAAATTGTTTCTTTTACACAATGAGCCTGAGAACTTACATTGATCAAGCCTTATTATCCCTTTATGGACTCAGAGTTAGAAGGGTTTAACCGCAGGGCTTCAAAGCAAATCAGAAACTGTGTGACAAAGCCAACTCTTCCAGAACAACTGCCCTCATTCACCTTGAGTGAATCTTGGACACTCTGGCTTTGACGAATAGAGAGGGCGGAGTGTTAGGGAATTTGTTTTTCCCCACCAGTAATGATGCAGTACTTTTAATGGCAACCCCTATTTATACACATCAAAAAACCGCTTCAGATGAAAACTGACAAGTCACTACCAGGCACTAGGTCTTTCAGACGAAGTCCTTTGCCCTTCCTGCCTGCAACCCCACACCATTATCCCAGGCAGTTTGTGTCACTCAGCTCTCGGCAAAACAGCAAGTGTGAAAGGATTTGGATTAAACTCTGGACCCCTAGCAAGAGATTTAAGAAAAGTCCAATTTTTTCTTCATTGCAAAATTAAACTGATTCCTAGTGCAAAGTTCTTTCCCTCATTGAGGACAGGGAATGTTATCCAATGCTAGGTAGTTGTAAGAGAATCTGGCTTTGGGCTTGATCCCTGCATTGAAAAGACATTTTTCATGTTCCCTGTGATTTTATCTCCCTCTTCCTTCCCTTGTATCTAGGGTTGCCAGGTAAAACATACAGGGTGCCCAGTGGAAGGTGAGTTTCAGATAAACAACACATCTTTACATATATATTAAAGTTTTTTATTTGTTTTGAGAGAGAGAGAAAGAGAGAGAGAACACAAGCAGGGAAGGGGCAGAGAGAGAGGGAGAGAGAGAATCTCAAACAGGTTCCACGCTGTCAGTGAAGAGCCCAATGCCAGGCTCAATTTCACAAACCCTTGAGATCATGAATGGAGCTAAAATCAAGTATCAGACACTGCACTGATTGAGCCACCCAGGTGCCTCACCAACAAATATATTTTGAGTACAAGTATGTCCCGTGCACTATTTGGAGCATATTTCTACTTTAAAAACCTATTTGTTGATTATATGAAATTCAAGTTTCAATGGGTGTCCTGTATTGATCATTTGTCTTTTTGGCTTTTTGTCTTTCTAAATGTGACAACCCTACCTGATTGTCCTCTTCCAACGCTGTTTTGTTCTTTCTCCTAAAATTTTCTTCAATGGGCTTTCTTCCCAATCTCATTTACCTCTTTAAGGACAGTGGTTTTTTTTCTTTACCTTCTGCTCTTGTTTGGTGGTGGTGGGTGGGGGGGGGATTAGTGTTTAGTGATTTTGGATTGAGATGGGTAGTACCAGCCTTCTGTATGAAGGGGCTCAGAGCCACACATCAAGGAAGATTTGAATAGGGCCTGTGTGAAGCCATCTCTTCTGAAGTTCTGCCTTCACCACATACCCCTTGGAGTTAAGCATTGCCTTCTCTAACTGGTGCTTCCAAAACGTCCCTGGGA